CGCTGTCCGGGTGTGTGCGGGGTACCCAAGTTCTCTGGCACGGTCTGTGATGGGTACCCGGATTCTCTGTCACGGTCTGTGGGGGGGGGGGTGCAAAATTTCTACCCTATACACTTCAACACTCCTTTCAGATCGTGTTTCACAGAATGTGTCCCCTATAATCTTCTATCGATTACTGAAAACCCGCAGATCGCTATGACTTTTCGTTAAAAAGCGAGAAGATTTTTTTTCCACCGGCCTTCTTTTAAAATTCCGATAGTAGTTAAGTTAAAATTTGTACGTCTTATAATCATCAACGATTGCCTTGACTTTATTACTCATTTATCATTTGTACGTGATCAAGTTGGAAAATTCCAACTTGTTTAATATCAAGGATTGCTTTGTATGTGCATAGAAAAAAAACAGCTATTTGAGTCTCTTTCTCTCTTCTAATCCAACCAACCAAATTGGTTAAAGGAAAGACAAAAATATTGTCGTATTGGATAAAAAAAAAACAACTTGCATCACTCCACTCTATTAAGTAAGCATTCTATAGACAGCAAGAGCTAAATAAACGAAGTTGAAAGACACACTCTTTTCAATTTATCAACGACAAATGGGAAATAAATACTCCACTCAAACAGGTCACTCAGCAACGGTTGTGAAGGAACAAAGCTTGGTTAGTTTAAATACACAAGAATCAACCGTAATACTCATCTGGTATGATCCAAAGATGAACTCAGATTTCGACCATGAAAAGACAAAAAGAATGATCTCGAAGATAATAAATAATGCATTATTCTACGCTTTGGAAACTGAATTTTTAAATTATATAGAAACAGATAAACATACTTCTGTCGTTCTCATCTTATCCGGTCATGTGGCTCGAGATATTCTTCTTAGAGTTAATCATCTGAAGTACATTCAATCTGTACATATTTATGGTGATGACAACGAAAAGTCAAAGTATCAGTCTCTAAAAACTGATTTTCGTCCTAAGGTGAAATCAATTTCTAGTGAACGATATGAACTGAGATTTGTGCTCGAAACAACTTTAAACCACTTGAATGTTTTTAGTTATTATAACAGTGTTACACTGAGATCAACTTGGGATCTATCGACGAGTAACACTGAATTCATATGGTTTCAGTTGCTACAACAGAAAATCTTTTTGGAGCAAGACATTCACACTATACAGTCTAAATTTGATTTTATTCAACGATGTCGAGAATATTTAGGTGATGATTATGAAACAGATCAAAAATATCTCAACTACTTAGAAAATCAATATCAACCAAAATATGCCATTCGAGAATATACAAAATGCAATTTTTTACATAAGTTAATCAATCATGCAATTAGAACTGGTGATGTAGAAGAGTTATATCACTTTCGTTATTATGTTGCTCATCTCTGTACGAACCTAGCTAAATTATCCGAACGATTCCGAAGTAAACAACAGAGATTGGGAAAGACTGTGCTCACACTCTATCGTGGTCAACAACTCTCACGAGAAGAAGGAGAGCGACTTCGTACAAGTGGAAATAAATACATTGCTATGCGTGGTTTTCTATCAACGACCTTAGATCGAAGAGTAGCCGAGGATTTTGCTGAATCCTCACCTGAAAATTTGGCCGTCTTATTTGAAATCACAGTTCATTTAGATCAAGTACCATCAATGATTTTAGCTGATATATCGAAGTATAGTGTAAATTCACATGAGAAAGAAATTCTGTTTGGTTTAAATGCAACCTTTGAAGTTGATGAACAGGTTCAGAGTGATTGTGGTCGATGGATTATACGAATGCATGCAACAAATTGTGAACAGGAAATCGTGATTGACTATATACGATATCTTCAGTCAGAAACATCAAACGTTTCTTCGTCATCTTCGATCCCGATCAATTTTATATTGGCTCGATTCCTTGTAGAAATGGGTGAAACTGTGAAAGCAGTCAAACTTTTAGAAAAAACTATTCCAACTACAGATGATGAACGAGCAAATCTGTATTTCATTTGGGCTGATGCAAAGATATCATCATATCATTTAGTAGAGCATGCATTCGATGAGGCAATACGGTTATTGAAGAAGTCAGAAGAGCTATTCATCTCATTGGATAATAAACTTGGTCAAGCTCACACTTTCAGACGTTATGCTGATGCACAAGTTCTAAATGAAATGTATGACGAAGCCATCCACTCTTATCAACGAGCAAAGCAGCTGTACAAAGAAATACCTGGTCAAAAGGAAAATATTGCTAGTTGTTGTAATGGCTTAGCTGACGTATATCTAGCAAAACGCAAGTATACAAAAGCCTATATCTATTACTCAAAAGTATTAACGTGGCGACAGGCTTATCTATCAGATGAACATCCGGCAATTGCACGAAGCTACTATAGTTTAGGACGTTACTACCACTTAAAAGGAAATAATAATGAAAATGCACTGCGTTTTGTAACGAAAGCATTGGAACTTAAAAAGAAGATTTATCCGCCGAGCCATCCATCGATCCAATGTAATGAACGTCTTCTAAAAGAAATTCAAGCAGCTTTGGCACGATAATATGATCGATTTGAACTCTGTATCTGTAATACCAATGAACAAAAAAAGATAAAACGTCAGCAGTGTACGAATAGTGAACGAAACAAGACTACTGTAATGAGACATAGATGAAGCAAGTTGATAAGATGGGTGTGGGGTGTGGGTATGGATGGAAATGTGTTTTGTTCACGAGTTCTTCACCCACTCATGCACTTACCCTCACAGCCCAAACCCATACTCTTGAGGGTATGGGTGTAGTTAAATTTTCTTAGCACTTACACACATTTCTGTGTTGTTATGAAAAATCCCTATGTTCAGAATTTATGTTAATCAACTAGAATATATACATATAGTGATACTTACATTTTTTATTTGAACTTCTCGTGGAAGTTGTCATACCTTTTCTACATCATATAAAAATATTGAAATTGAATAATGATTTTATTCAATTGAATTCAAACCTTAATTAATAATCGTCTTTTCTTTAATTTTGTCAATTTCAAAATTCTTGCTCAGAAATTCTCTTATTCATTAGAAGTCTTCCATGGATTTCAATCTAATGATACATCATTTCTGTGACATTGATCAATAAAAAGAAATGAATTTATCGAATAATATTATCAATTGCTTGCCTTTGGCAAACAGAGACCAAGTTTAGATTGTTTGTTTTAAAAAATTTTCTCCTTTAAATGAGTATAAATATGATGCTTCTATTTCTTGTTATTATTCTTCATTTATTTAACTATTTACTAGTCGAATTATGTAAATTTCATCACTCTGAAATGTGTCTTTCTAATCATTATTATTCACCTAATAATAATGATCTCTCCTCTTATATGAAATAACAATTATATTTCTAAAATCAATCTAAACCTTTGCTTGACACTATTGAATTTTATCTAAAATTGGAATGCAAGTAGTTCATACTTTTCTATAACCGTCATATTCTGACCGTACTACTTTATTAATATTATTTTCCTACTGGCTGACACCTATGATAAGATTCTTTCACTGCACTAAATATCGAAAAAGTGCAAAGTGTGAACTAGTCAGAATTTATAATGTAGGCCTTTACTTCATAAAATCCATTAAAAGATTAGCTGCGAAAACTATGATTTAAAAATACATTCATCATGTTCTGCATAAAAAATGGATGTGAGTTCCAAAAAAGTATAAATAAAAACAGTAGATAGATAATGCACCAATATCGATTGAAAACAATAAAATTGAATAATAATTATGCTTAGTAATCAAACAAATTGTGAAATACTATATGATACTCTTGAACATCATTACCTGAATCTATTTTATTAATAAACAGATGCATTACTAAAAATATTTGTGCACTGACCTTGAAGTAAACATCCTATGATGAAGAACGTATAATCATAGATCATTTATGAAAAATAATTTTCAATCAAGCATGAAGTATGCGATTCTTTCTTTGGACTGTTTATCTATGTTAAATAACATTAAGAAAAATTTATGAAAATAAAATGAGTAAATCGTTGAATCTGATAGCATTCGAACAAAATTATTCAGCCAATAAAAAATTTGTGAACTTATTTGCTAATATTAATTATCCAATACCTATCAGACTCCTATGCTTTTTGTGTTATTCTTTCTCCATGTGCTTGCTTTTTTCGATCAAGCAAACAGAAACAAAATATCATAAACATCGTTTTCTTTTTAATAAGAAATTGCTTTGTTTTTATTCTAATGGCGTCTGTAACTTCGAAAACACTGTATTACACGTGGTAAAGGCACAGAAATAATTGATTATGAAGGATGTACACAAATATTTTGTGCAAAACATGTTATCGAATATCGACAAACACTATATCGTGAACTCGATGAAATTATCATTGAGCATGATAGTCTTCGAGAAAAGTCATTGAAAATAAACATCAAAATATTTCTTTAATAAATTACGTTAATGAATGGGAACTAAAATCGATTGTGAAGATTAAACAAATAGCTGAAGAAACCCGTCGAAAAATAGTTGAATTTACAGATATATATAAAAGTAAACTGCTGAAGAATATGCAGATAGAAATTTACGTATATTTACTTTTTTTTGTTACATAGGAACAATATCAAAAGAACTTGCTAGATGTCGTCAGCTCTGTGGTGTTATCTTTTTCTTACTGACATCGTTGTGACATCATCGTATATATGTATATGTTATGGGCAAAATTGAAATGCAGTCAAATTTGAAATTTGCCTAGTCAAAATTAAAATGTTTTCTTTTGTAGCGAAAAGAAGATCAAAAAGAGAAACAAATAAAGTATAAATAATTTTTATTTTACAATAAATTCCTACATGTATTAACTGAACTGTAAATTAATTTATTCCATATTTAAACATCCATCTCTCTTTGAATGACATTTGGTAGAACAGGAAACGTTTTTCTTTTTGCATGGACATGTTTTCGTTCCACACTTGCCTCGACAATTGCATCTATGAGCAGTTGTAGAACCACATGAATAAAGTTTCGAAACCTCAATAATGGTAATTGGTTTTAAATTAGCAACATCCAAGGTTTTTAATTCAGTTGGACAAGCATCTTTTATATTCAAGAATTGTGAAGCTTCAAAAGTCTTTGTCAAAACTCCATATTGACAAATTAATTTAAATGAGAAGTCATTCTGACTTATTTATCGTACCTATATAGATAACTATAGTTCAAGAACAGAAAAAGAAAAGAAATCAACGAACACATAAACACTGTATCTTCTTTTCATTACAAAAGAAAACATTTTAATATTGCCTAGTCAAACTTAAAATTTTAATTTTGACTATGCAGATTTCAAATTTGACTGCATTTCAATTTTACCCATAACATATATATTCTATCTGTCTTCTTTCGTTCTATCGTCATCCCGAGCAGACAAGCATGTCACTTTTTGTACTAATTTAGTATCAAAAAATGTGAGTCTAATTTTCTATATAGTTTGTTTCCTTTGTATAGATTTTTCGCATCTAAATTTTTGATGGCAAAAAACGGCCACTTTTTTTTTCTCAAAAATAGTGAAAAACTTTTGAGCGTTTAAACGCATTGAAAAACATAAAATTAAGCATAAAATTGTATGGAATTTTTTTCAACTAGTTTTCGAAAATTTTATTTTATGCATTTATTAGTTGTATTTTATGTATAACAGTTATCTGTGTTTCTCTTCTTGCTAGAGCGGTATGAAGTTTTTTACAACATCACAACCACAATTCAATACGTAGTTATATTTTACTTTTGAAAGAGTACTATTCAGCTCTACTTTTAGTCTCCACCACAAATTTCTAAAGAAGACAGTCCTACAAAGAGTCCTATACATTTTTATCAAATGCATTTTTAGTGATGCAGTAATTTAAATTTTGTATTATCTTTCGAGGTATGTTCAGATTTCCGAAAAAAGAAGTTTCCGAAAATACCAAAAGTTCCACCATGCCATTTAAAGACATACATCTGCGTACTTACAGAAATTTCTATAATTACCATTACACTACACAGAAATTTCCGAATTTTCCATAACTTTCAAGCAAATTTCTTGGAAACTTTCGTAATTCCTCATACAAAAGATGGAAAATTACAAGATAATTTTCGCAAATACCGACTGTCGAAAAAGTAAATTTATGAGTAATTATGGAAAACACGAAGACATACAGAAGAAATTACAAGCAATTTCCAAAATTCACTAGTTCTCATGAAGAAATTTCTAAACAAAATTATAAGAAATTTCGATAATTACTACTACATTTCTATAAATGCTAAAATTACGTTATATGCATATAACACAACATCTAGAGATTTCAAAAGCCCAACACGTACAATGTTAAAGAATTCCTCCTAATTTCCGGAATCACCTCGTAATTGTAGAAATTACAGAAAATTCTACAACATCATGCTAGAGATATCATGAAAAACATATAGACTTGAAGGACTCCCAAGACTAAAAGAATTTATGGTAATTTTGGAAATTACCTAGAAATTTTAGTAATTACGGAAATTTCTATAATTTCTAAAATATTATAGTATGGATATGGCAATATAAACATATATTTAAGCAAGTCTACCCCCAAAAACTACAAGAATTTATAGTAATTTCGGAAATTACCTAGAAATTTTAGTAATTACAGAAATTACGATAAATTCCTCTAGTTTTTGCGGTAGGGTTGTCTAAATCTCTATTTATATTACCATATCCAGATTATAATATTGTAGAAATTATAGAAATTTCCGTAATTACTAAGATTTCACACTAACGAGGGAACCTCACCAACTGATACACGCCGTTTGAGCTCATATTTTGCTCATAGGTAGGGCTCATAGTGTAGATAAAAACCCTAGAGGGATTCGTCCCCATGCTGCTTTGTCGCAGAGAAACAAGCACAACAAGTTTCTCTGAAAATGGCATTATTGTATTTTTTATTAAAAAAATTTATTTTTATATCTCGATAAAAAGATGTTTTC